AACATGCTGCTGAAGCTACAGACGGGAACTTTGAGGTTTGAGGACAGAAACTGAGGATGTGCTGAATCACCTCGTAGGAGGACAGAGGTCCAGGACGAGCTCGCCGTCCCTGTTTGAGTCCGTCCTCTTATTCCCAGGATCCTCGGTGAGCTTGTAGCTCTGAAAATTGCTGAGGCTAGAAGAGAAAGACAAACGATGCACGAGGTTTAGTGATGATCGTCAGAACACGACAGCAGACACAGTTTGTCCCATCATGGCTGTATGAACAGTGTAGAGCAGGGGTCTCAAACTCGCGGCCATTTGCGGCCCACGTCACCTCTACTTGCAGCCCGCATATAGATGTGAAGAAATACTTTTTAAAAACTATTCCACGAAAAATGATTTAATACGACAGCAGAGTGTTACAGGCATGGCCCTTTAAGACTGTAGCCTCATGGGTGGTGTAGTCCGTGCTGCAGGGAGAACATGTGGGACCACCCCTCCCGCTGCGTGTGTGAGCGTGAGGGAGAAAAAGGAACATTGAAAAGTACGAGCTGTCACCGAGCAGAAACGGGAGCTGGAAGCATGTAAATATAATAATAACATGCAGCCAAACAGAGAGCCTGACGAGCCCAGCTGTAAGTAAGCTGTTAAGACTCGACTCTACACTGTGTTCGTGTTTTCCTCCGAAACAAAGTTCTGCTGGAGCAGCCTTTCAACGCCTCTCTGTCTCTCGCTAGCAAAGCTGACCCAGACAGTAAAGCTAGTTCCCGGCTACGAGCCCGACACGAACCCAAAGTATTAGCCAGAGTTTCCTTACCGCGACCTGGCCGAGGTAACGAGAGTGCAAACATGCTGAGGGCTGTGTTAGTTCAGCGACAGATTTATTTGGAAAGAAAACTATTTTCACTTGCAGTCAAAAACTCATGTGTACGCTTATACCTGCATTTTTATTTTGTTAAATACAAACATAATTGTAGCAAAAGTGCTGCCACGTGTCTGACCAGAAAGAGAATTAAATAAAAAACCAAACACTACATTTTAGGAAATATTAATGGTGTTTTTTTGTACTACTTGGACACTAAAGTGGCCTCCAATGAGATGACGGTGCCAGAAGTGGCCGGCGGCCTGGTGTAGAGCATCTCTCTGCAGCACACTTTAGCTTGCTCCAGGTGTGCACCGAGCAGGCCGAGCTTCTCAGTTTTCTAATGAGACGATTTATTAGACACACAAACGGCTGTAAGCGATAATCCATTTGTTCAATCTGTGACATTTTCCTCACAGTCAACATCGATCTCGACCTCTAAATGACCCGCTCTGACCCCGAGCCCTCAGCGTGGACAGTCCTTTTCTCTCACCAACAATAACAACATAATCAGGCTGATACTAATAATCTCAGTACTTCTATGGGTTAAATCTTTTGTGCCCCAGGGCATCATTTCCATTTAAAACAACTATTAAATCCACTAAAAGTTGTGTTTAAATGACGAGAAATTAAAAGAAAAGACTAAAATAATCAGAATTTACAAATATCAAAAACAATGAGGTACACAGACACAAAAAAAACCTTACATAAAATCAAATAAATTGAGCTGATAGACAAACGAGCTCCACTCACCCTTCATTGTCGTTGTGGACGTCCTGCGTCCCCCAGCAGAGCTGCCTCTTCCTCCACTGAGCCATGTGGGACAGCCCGTCTCCGTCTGCAGCCGAAAAATCAAACAAGAGTCAACACTGACCGGAGACGCGGCGCTGTGGTCACCGCTGAAGCTTTTGAGCCCTGCACAGATCCTGCTGCTCGCACTGACGCGACGTGCAGATCACCATGACAACCAGTAAGGATTTAACTCCAAACAGAGGATGATTGTTTTTGTAGGACATCCTGAAAGCTTGCATCACTCTGGTTCCCTTTACAATACTTTTTAAATGACGCCAGCACTAAGCCCCGCCCCCAGCATGATGATCCCAAGTGTCCAGCAGCTGTTAGCAAACTGGTCTCTGAGAAAACCTTCAGTCAGTTAAACTGGTGAACCCTAACCCCCTAACCCTAAGTCTAAACTACACATCTGAGTTCACTTTGCAGTCTCAGCTGATTTTGTTGTCTCAGCTGTTAGCATCTTTTGGCTAAGCTGTATTTTGGCTAAACCACAGCCCCACAGGCCGAGGGGGAGGTGTGACAGCAATTTTTCACACCAGCCTATTAATCAACCTAAGACCCAAACAGACTTTTAATTCATTTGAAAGCCTGATGCTTAGCCTCGTCCACCCCAGCTGTGAAACTCAGAAACCAGTCTTACTTGTTATCATCTATCGTCCACCTGGGCCTTACACAGAGTTTCTGTCTGATTTCTCAGACTTTTTATCTGATTTAGTTCTGAGCTCAGATAAAATAATTATTGTGGGTGATTTTAACATTCATGTAGATGCTAAAAATGACAGCCTCAACATGGCATTTAATCTGTTATTAGACTCGATTGGTTTCTCTCAAACTGTAAAAGAACCCACCCACCACTTTAATCACACTCTAGACCTTGTTTTAACATATGGCATAGAAACTGAACATTTAACAGTGTTTCCTGAAAACCCTCTCCTGTCTGATCATTTCCTGATAACATTTACATTTACAATAATTGATTACACAGCGGTGGAGAGTAGACTTTATCACAGTAGATGTCTTTCTGAAAGCGCTGTAACTAAGTTTAAGAATATAATCCACCCACTGTTATCATCTTCAATGCCCTGTACCAACATAGAGTAGAGCAGCTATTATTATTAGCTATACTAATGCTTCGATCTTAAATAGGATCAACCTATCTCTAATAATCAGCTATGTTAAACCTTTACTCAAAAAGCATCTCTAGACCCAGCAGTCTTAGCTAATTATAGGCCAATCTCCAACCTTCCTTTCATATCAAACATCCTTGAAAGAGTAGTTGTCAAACAGCTAACAGATCATCTGCAGAGGTTTATTTGAAGAGTTTCAGTCAGGTTTCAGAGCTCATCACAGCACAGAAACAGCTTTAGTGAAGGTTACAAATGATCTTCTTATGGCCTCTGACAGTGGACTCATCTCTGTGCTTGTCCTGCTAGACCTCAGTGCAGCGTTCGATACTGTCGACCATAATATCCTATTAGAGCGATTAGAACATGCTGTAGGTATTACAGGTACTGCACTGCAGTGGTTTGTATCATATCTATCTAATAGACTCCAGTTTGTGCATGTAAATGGAGAGTCCTCTTCACACACTGAGGTTAATTATGGAGTTCCACAGGGTTCAGTGCTAGGACCAATTCTGTTTACATTATACATGCTTCCCTTAGGCAGCATCATTAGAAGACATAGCATACATTTACACTGCTATGCTGATGACACCCAGCTCTATCTGTCCATGAAGCCAGATAACACACACCAATGAGTTAAACTGCAGGAATGTCTTAAAGACATAAAGACCTGGATGGCCGCTAACTTTCTGCTTCTTAATTCAGATCAAACTGAGGTTATTGTACTCGGCCCTGAAAATCTTAGAAATATGGTATCTAAGCAGATTCTTACTCTGGATGGCATTACCTTGGCCTCCAGTAACGCTGTGAGGAACCTTGGAGTCATGTTTGACCAGGACATGTCCTTCAACGCACATGTTAAACAAATATGTAAGACTGCTTTCTTCCATTTGTGCAACATCTCTAAAGTTAGAAATATCCTGTCTCAGAGTGACGCTGAAAAACTAGTTCATGCATTTATTACTTCCAGGCTGGACGACTGTAATTCATTATTATCAGGAAGTCCTAAAAACTCCCTGAAAAGCCTTCAGCTGATCCAAAATGCTGCAGCAAGAGTCCTGACAGGGACTAGAAAGAGAGAGCATATTTCTCCTGTTTTGGCTTCCTGTTAAATCCAGAATTCAAAATCCTGCTCCTCACATACAAGGTCTTAAATAATCAGGCCCCATCTTATCTTAATGACCTTGTAGTACCATATCACCCTATTAGAGCACTTGGCTCTCGCTCTGCAGGCCTACTTGTTGTTCCTAGAGTATTTAAAAGTAGAATGGGAGGCAGAGCCTTCAGTTTTCAGGCCCCTCTTCTGTGGAACCAGCTTCCAGTTTGGATTCAGGAGACAGACACTATCTCTACTTTCAAGATTAGGCTTCAAACTTTCCTCTTTTCTAAAGCATATAGTTAGGGCTGGACCAGGTGACCCTGAATCCTCCCTTAGTTATGCTGCAATAGACGCAGGCTGCTGGGGGATTCCCATGATGCACTGGGTGTTTCTTCTTCACTCACTATGTGTTCACAGACCTCTCTGCATTGAATCATATCTGTTATTAACCTCTGTCTCTCTTCCACAGCATGTCTTTATCCTGTCTTCCTTCTCTCACCCCAACCGGTCACAGCAGATGGCCCCGCCCCTCCCTGAGCCTGGTTCTGCTGGAGGTTTCTTCCTGTTAAAAGGGAGTTTTTCCTTCCCACTGTCACCAAAGTGCTGCTCATAGGGGGTCATATGATTGTTGGGTTTCTCTCTGGATGCATTATTGTAGCGTCTACCTTACAATACAAAGCACCTTGAGGTGACCTTTGATGTGATTTGACGCTGTATGAATAAAATTTAACTTTACGTCCTTACTGGGATCCATCATTTCACTTTACAGGTATCAGTGATATCTGCACATGTTCAGACGTACCGCTGTGCAGAGAGCCATCCTCTGGGAAGTCTGCGTCCAGCATGAGATCATCATCAGCCAGATCGCAAGAGTCCAGGTTGTTCAGGATGTCCTGAAAGACAGCGTACGACAGAGACACGCGGTCTTTAATAAGCCGACTCCAAGAAAACACACCGGGCTAAATTCAATGAGCAGAAAATGTTTCAGGAACTTCTAACGTCAGCGTGCAGACAGCGAACGAGAGCATCCAGAGCTGGAAATACAAATGCTCCTTTCCACGGAGCACCACACAGGAAAGATGAGAGTACGGATCCACTCAGTGAAGTGTTGTTTAGGTCCAAACCTATCCCGACTGAACAGTTACAGCTTCCTGTCCTTTATTTTGGAAAAGAAACATTAAAAGGAGATAAAGAAAGAACACCGAGACGTCTCCGTTTTCTTATCTTGTAAATAAAGAAAACACGTTTTTGGAAATCTGGACCCTGCTTCCCTGATTTCCTTTCCTCAAACCTAAACTCAGCAGATTTTGCTGTTAGTGTGAACATCAGCTGATAAAATCGGATACAAGCACGACTCACTGAGTGAGCGGCTTTCACATCATTGGGTCACCTGTTACTGCAGCTGGTTAACGACAACAACACGACCACTCACAAATCCACGCAGCTCCAAAACTAAAGAGTTTCATGCAGCCTTAAAATGTATTTAATAAAAACTTTTATTAGCAGAGCCATGAGGAAGAAACGGTGCATCACTTTAAAACAAAGAAACGTTCTCTGTCTGACTGCTGTCAGAGCTCTGAGGATAAATATCTATAACTAATCAATCATATCTATCAGTTAAACCTGAACAGTAGGTTTTACCTTGTATTGTGTAACATGTCACAGGACATCTGCAGGCTACAGGTTAAGGATCAGCTTTGAGCTCCGTTCATTTACAGAAGGACACATGCTGACCGTGTTTTTAAAGTTATTCTGAAAAAATAAACGAGCGTCATCAGAAAACAGCAGCAGATGATCCTTCTATCATCCAGGACAGCGGTCGGAAAACTTGATAGTATCTCGATATTTGTGTGTTAGAGGAAAAAGAACATTTATTGAATAATTCTCTATTTGATTCTAGTTTTGCACAAGGTGATCAGACAAAGTGCCGTGCTGCACAGACCGCCGACCTCGAAGAAACACAAAGACCAAAGAAAAAAAATCAACAACAATTTAACGACGCAGCTGACAAAAGGCACAGACCGTCCCCTCGTCGTCAGCAGGTCTTTTGTGCTTGCTGATCAGCTCTGAGTTCTTCTGTCTGTGCAAGAGTTCGGAGGCTGCTTCATGCAGAAGCATCTGCCTGCATGTGCTCAGCCACAGCCACACACGCACACACACACACACACACACACACAAACGCACGCATTCACGCACACACAAACGCACACACAAACGCACGCATTCACACACCCTGGTGGCTGAGAGCAGTCATCCACATCAACGCACCGCCTCCTAATCTCCTCCTGCTCCCTCATCTCTTTGCTCCTCTTTGTCATCTTCACCTCTTCCTCTCCTACTTCCATCCTGTCACTTCACCTCCCTCCTCTTGCCCTTCTTCCCTTCTTTTCTCTTCCTTTTCCTTCTCTCTCATTCTTCTGCCCACATCATTCACAAAAACACGTATCAACAAGAAACTAAATCACTGATTTAGACTTCAGGGTATTTCATAGAGCTGTGAGCACAGAAGCTAAAGTAACGTCATTAAACGCTACTTTAGCGCTAACCGAGTCCATGACAGGAGAACACAACACAACATTATAGTATGTACTGATTTTATAATCAATAAATCATGAGAAGGTTCAACCTAAAGATGTAATAACGAGCACTGCCCTCTACAGGAGGAAACAGGAAGAGCATGAAGAAGATGCCCTCTGACATCACAGTGACATCAAAAGGCCAACGTCAGCATGTTGTAATAAAAACATAAAACTGAAACACGTTGCTGAGCTCTCGGCTTGCTCTCGTTTCCGTATTAATCCAGCCTAAACAGGAAGCAACTTCTTATCTGCCAATTCTGTTTATGGCTTTTATTGTGGAATAAAAAGTGGTTAAAAATGTTAACATGGTCTTTGGTCAGTGGTTGTTGATCAATGGTCATGAGAATTTGTATAATTAAGATGAAGGAACTGCCCTCCCAGCCCATTGTTGCTTCACTGGGCTGGTTTCAGTCATCATGCAAATGTCCTGTTTATAAGATTGAAGCCTGCAGTCAGCTGAGACTGAAGACGTCACCTGGATGATGATGAAACGTTTCCCCCACAAAACGCTACATTCTTTTTAAAAATGGAGAAAATAAAATTTAGACTCAGAGGAAATGTTAATAAGTTCTCACAGATGTGGCAGCCTTTTATCACTTACTTTAACTCGTTGAAAACACTTACAATAGACTAAACTTTTGTACCACAGGGTTCCCTTCTGTTATGGTTTTGGGAGGGAGTTCATTATTTTTTTTTTTTGTTTGTTCTTTTTGTTGTTTTTGTTTTGTTTTTCTTCCTTTTTTTTGTTTTTGTTTTTGTTTTTTTGTTTTTTCTGTTTTATTGTTATTATCCGAATTTCGATGGCCTAATTTGTTTTGATATATGTCTTTATATCGGTTGATACTTGCTGTATTGGGCCTGATATGTTAAATTACATGTGCAAAACTTTATAAATAAAGAGGGGAGAATTTCACCATAAAAGCTTAAATGCACAGAGCAGCTGCCACGTGACTAATTGATTAAACATTTGCATTAATGAACAGTCAAAAAAAAAAAAAAATGCTACATCCGGATGAACAGAATCAACTTTTGGAGAGTTAAAAATTTTAGTTTTGTTTCATAACATTTCTTAAACTCTCCTCGTGCCACGCCCCCCTGTGATCATCGTTACTCCTCCTCTTTTTCTGTCCTCGCTCTGATGAAAACACAGAAACCTCGTCGTTGTCCTGACCCGTCTGTTAAAACAAACAGAGCAAAGCTTTCCCCTGAGGCAACACTGACCCCTGGTGGTCGGGTCAAACATTTCTAATGATAATTTCAGTTTCACATCTACCAACAAACAGAAGACAATCAGGTTAAAGCTTAAAGACGAGAAAGGCTTGAGCCATCAGTCCAGAGCTCGTTAATGTCCTCACATCATTAAGACCCTCAGCTCACTGCGATCAATCACTCGTTGGGCCCACAGCTCATTAACGCAGAGGGCACATTGAGACGGGAGCTCATTAACAGCCTCTCAGCATCATTCAGGATGGAGATTAACTTTACTCAACAGGACAGAGCGTACATGAAGCCACGGCTCGAAGCAGTTTAACACATCTGAATCCCTTTGACTGTTAGCCTTCAGCTTTGTGTAACACCACCCAGATGCTCACTTCATGTCTGATAAGAAGACAGAAACATTAGTCGTTTATGGCAGCTGTAGCTCCCAGTAAACACTGATGCTAACGAAGAGCGATTTATTAACCTGCAACAAGCAGAATGGCCGGGTGGCGTTTAAGCCGCACAGATACAGGATGTTTAAACTGACTTCCTGTTTCCTGTGCCAGTTTATTTATTTATTTATTTCAGCTGGTTGTTGTGTTTTCATCAGGGAGGTTGCAGAGTGCCCTCTGGTGGATAAATTATGCAACATCCGCACTGATAACATGGTCGAACGGTGTTTTTATCCACGTTATAAGGTTTCATTTATTGGCTGTTATACAAGCTGACACCGACACATACATCTGTAACCATTACGGTCCATAATACCGATAAACCAGTCGGACTTTAGCAGAGATGCTCTTAAAACTGGAAAACCGTGAGAAGAATGGGAGCTTCCAGCTTCTCTCATCATCTCATGAACATCAGTGTCTGTAAAGTTTCAGTGGACACTGGAAGCTGGAGACAAACTTTACTGAATAAATGTCTGATATTGTTCAAAAATAGAAAGGATGCATGAGGAAGGTCAAGAGAGAGAGATGCTGAACACTGAACGTGTCACTGCGGAGTAAAAAAATAAACTCCTGACCACAAATACAGAAACCGCAGCTGGATTTAAGGGAGTATAAACAGTGAGGGAACCTTTAACATCCCTTCAACTGTAGAAGAAGAATCAGAAGAAGAATCAGAAGAAGAAGAAGAAGAAGAATCAGAAGAATCAGAAGAATCAGAAGAAGAATCAGAAGAAGAAGAAGAAGAAGAAAGGTGGCGTGAGGACGAGACTAAAGAGGAGTACAAAGAATAAAAGGAACAACAACAACATGATGTAAATATATATAATATAAATATATATAATCTTCTATAATTTCTAAAGAGAAATTATAGAAGAGAAATGAAGAAAGGGCAGAACAAGAAGAAGAACAGGACATCTGATCGGCCGTGAGTGTAACTCACAGAGTGGACACAAGAGGGAGCCAGAGGACTTCCTGCAGACTTAGATGAGCTGAAACGTGACACCAGCGTTCATCGTGAGATTAAAATGTCTGATTTTCAGTTTGATAAATGAAACTGTGGGTTAAACATGAACTCTGACTAAACTTTGGACATTTCAAATCAATGAAATCAAAACACAAGATCAGTCTGAGTGAAGCTGTTTTTTGAGCTCCCCTGAGAGGCCTCGAGCTCAGACTTTAAAAACTTTGTGCTAATCTGACACGTGACTCCATCACGATGAAGCGTCTCCATTGTGCCGTCTCTGTGGAAGCAAACCTCAGCGGAGCAGCACAGCAGACGCCTCCTGAATGTTAAACGCTCCTCTTTGTCATTTCTCTGCTGCACTGCCACGAAATCATCCAAACTACAAACCAGCCTGGAGGAAGGTTGGGGGCAAATGTGTGTGAGCTGCAGGTTTGTCCTTACGATGCTGTTGAGGTCGGAGTCGAAGCTCCCGATGTGGTGGGTGGTGTTGCTGCTGGTGTGAATGGACGCGGTTGTGGCGACGCCCCCCAGGGGCTCCAGACCCTCCTCGTCCCACATGTAGGTGCCCCCGGACCCGCAGCTGTCGGAGGGGGACAGGTCCAGGGACGAGCCGCCCTGCAGAGGGGACGGACATGTTTGATTCAGACCACGTGGAGTTTTTCAGCTTTTATTAAACGTTCATGACTGCAGATGAGAGCAGGACAGACGTCCTCCTCTGTCTTTCCCAACAGCGTCCTGCCTCGCCCGGCTTTCAGGGACAGAAACCACGTCTACACCCTGCCTGTTAACTGTCCACGTGTGGGGCTGCTTTCACCTGCTGCAGCTGAGCTGTGAGTCAGGTCAAAGTATGACTCAAAGATTATGTCATGTTTCTGAAAATGGGTTTAAGGTTTGACAAATGGAGGAAACTGTGACAATTCAAGAGGCTAAATATCTGAAGTGGGTCTATGAGGTGAGGCTGAAGGCAGGGTGAGGCCAAGCAGCATCCTCCTGTGCTGATATCAAAGCCTGCAGTTCCTCTAATGTCCACTAGAGGCTGACTCAGTGTTAAAGCTCTACAGCAGAAAGAAACATGCTGACGGCCTCATACAGAAACTCTTCATATCAACTGTTTTCACAACTCACCTTTTTAAACTGTTTTAAGGCTTAAAGTCTGCATTATTAGGGGTGTGGCCTCTTTGACTGACAGGTGAATGGTGACACAGGCGGCTGTAGCTGCTAGCTGTCTGCTAGCTTCACCTCAGCTAACTGGAGTCCCTGAACTGGACCTCCGGACTGTGTTTGTGCTGTTAGACTCTATTTTTTCATACAAATGAAGCAGCCTACTGGCTTTTATTGATTTCTCTAATTAAAAAACAAAATCTGGCAAATGTAACAGGAAGTGTTGGCCCAAAACTACAAGGAATATGGCTGCTAGCACAGGCTAAGCCACAGCATTAGCCGATAGGTTGGCAGACTGTGGTTTTATAAAGAGAGCTGCTGCTGTGGGCACTGATAGCTCCTTCTGATTGGTGGATAGAAAGTTCTTTGTATGGGTTTAATGGCGCTACCTGCTCGTGGTAGTCCGGCTGACTGGACCGTCTCCGGCGGGAGAGTCGGGTCAGCTGATGGTCTCCTCGTTCACCTGAACACAAGCAGGATTTTTTTTTTTAAGCAGTCGTCTCGACACTTTTTCTCCTCCCTCCTGCTCCTCATAAAACTCACCTGTGAGTCTCACGCTGCTCCAGTCGATACCATCATCCAGAAAACACAGCCCGGTCGCCTTGGTGACACAATTAGCGACCACCTTGTCGTCATCAAACCTGGCGCACGATTGGTCGAGCCCGGAGTCGTCTTCCTCGTTTTTGGAGGAGAGCAGCAGGATGCCGACGCCTCCGTTTCCTGCAAACAGCAGACAAGCGTCGCCGTGAAGTCGGATATTATTCTAATTTACTGACATCTATATAAAATAAGAAATCTGATCTCACCGAGGTTGTCAAAGTCGTCCATGTACTCCTGACTGGTGTCGTTTCTATCCAGAGAGGAGGTGGAAGACAGGGACATGTCCTCCAGCGTCTCCCCTAAAATCGACACCTCTGCCTGGGATGCAGGCTCTGCCGGCAGCTCCTCTGCGTCCGGAGCCTCTGGAGTGTTTTCTGGAGGAGGACGAGCAGCTGTTAGAGAGAAACTACAAACAGACAAAAATAAAAAGCTGTGGGTAAAATAAAGAGTTAAAAGCTGAACCTGGGCTGTTTTCTGTCGTCGAAGGCGTCTCTACAGAGTCCTTCCGTCTGCTCAGTCCTTGGTCGTCTACACACTGATTGGCCGTCGTCGCTCGCAGTGGGCGGGACTGCTTGATGAGTGTTGGGCGTGACATCTTGTAGCTGATGCCACTGGGCCTGGAGGTGGGGCTCAGGCTGGGTAGGAGAGGTTTCTTTAAGGCAGATGGAGGCAGGAGGGAGGGGACCCCCGACCTCGCTGAAGCAGCAGAACCAACACTGGCTCCGCCTCTACCTGCCTGGCTGCTAACAGGTGGTTTCAGCAGGCTGCCTTTAGGTGGAGCCCTGCTGGTGGAGGGGGACTGAGGGAGGGACGAGGAGGAGGCGGAGGAAGGAGTGAGGGTGGGGGAGGGCTGCCGTCGGACCTGGGTGAGGCTCCGTGAGCGAAAGCGATCGTCTTCAGTGAGCCGGACGGAGACAGCGGAGCCGAGGCTGTCGCTGGAGTACGAGCGGTTGGCTGGAGTCTTCTTCTGGAACGGGGAACCAGCTCGAGATCCAGGACCAGAACCGCCGGCACGAGAGAGGAAACTCTGAGGCCGTCTCAGAGAGCTGCTGGGTCCGGGCCGCGGTTTGGGCCCCGAAACGCCGTTCAGGGCGTGTTTGGCGCCGTTGGTCGGCCCTGATGGACTCAGTTTGTTGGATCTGATTTTGGAAGCAGGAGGCGTGCTGGGGCTGGACTGTGGAGACGGCGATGATGATGATGGCACAGGCAGGCCAAAGCCACGCCCCTTTTCCACAGAGGCTGCTTTTTTGGCGTCACGCTGGGAGTAAAACTGCTGGACGCTGCTGCGATTCCACCCGCCCTTCCCCCGGCTCCACGCCCTCTCCCCATCACCGCCGCCGTCCACCATCAATCCATTTTCTCTCCTCAATTTCACAGAAATCGAACTCGGCACTCGGATAAATCCATTCTGTTTAGCCGAGGACGGGGGCGCCGTTAGGGCGCCGTTGCCCCCTGATGGTCCAGGGTGGTGGTAGAACCCGTTGGTGAGGCGGGTGCCGGCGCTGGCGGCAGCAGCAGCGCTGGTGCTGACAGCGGCGGTGGCGGCGGGAGCCGTCTGAGATCTGGGCCGAGAACCAAACTTGGGCAACCTAGAGACCATGGTGGGCATGGCGGGAGGGTCGACGAGATGAGGGGCTGACATCAAACCCCGCCCACTTCACCATGGAGACACAGAGTCAGAGGATCTGGACAGAAGACAGGAAAAGATGATGTTAAAGGTCACGACCTCAGAAAGGTCAACTGTTCTGAAAACTATTCTTCTAAAACTCTCAGTGATGAAATTTGATTAAATTAAAAAATGTTTTAAATTGTTTTCCAAAGAAAAACAAAAAAGACAAATTTCAGCAGCAAAGTTTGGACACGTGGAGTCAAACGAGTCCTGCGAGGTTCCCTCGGTTAGCTTCACGTGCACTTTGCAGCTTAGTCTGTGTGACACTTGTGTTTCAGTGCAGGTGGAGCTTTGTTATCACGCAAAGCAAGAACCAGTTCAGAGAACGCTTCCATGTAGAGCTACGAAGGACCTTTACTGGAAAACCTTTCAAACGCCCGTTTGCTGCGGTTTCTCTGAAGCACAACAAAGCAGCTCTCAGCGCAGCGTCTGCAGGCGCTCCTCACTGAGCAGAGCTGCAGGATCAGGACAAAGCTGCAGCAGCCTGGGACACTTTGGTGAGATATAAAAAAAGCCTGGCAGCCCACAGTGGGTGATCACATGATCCCTCTGATGGTAAAGGAAAGCCCGCCTCCATGAGGTCACCATATTCAGTTTCCCATTAAGAGCAAACTTTTCTCCTGGTTTAAAGAAAGTTTCTGAGGAAGAATCACTACAGAAGGTTCAGGGATTGAACTTTACAGGCTCGAGTGACACTGTGGAGCTGTGCTGTGGAACTTTATTCATAAAGCACATTTAATAACAACAAAATGTTGGCCAAAGTGCTGTACAAAGATTTAAAAAAGTAAAAGATTACACAGTAAGAAATAAGATCAATAACAAATACGTGGATGATGACTGGGTGGATAGATGGGTAACTCTCACGCGGTGCTGTGGCACAGCAGAGCTTTCAGACACCCTGATTACAGACTGCAGGTTTGAACGGCAACGTTACAGGAAGAAGCCTCCGAGCCTCGATGTGGGTTCAGTCCTGATGGAGGTGAGATGGACGCATGTTTACTCCAAGCGTGTATTTTTAGCCTTCCCGCCCCCCCTCCTGGCCCCCGCTGAGCCCACAGATATGTTGGTATTCATAACACCAACCGTTCCCTCTGACTCTCCAGAAACAGTCGCTGAAAGTGGTCGTCTGAGTTTCTGCTGGTCGCTCTGCTCCACAGCAGCTACGTGATAGGCTGCTTTTATAGCATTAGCATTGTTAGCTTGACATGACACCATCTGTGATGCGCGTGCAGAAACACAGAGCTGCACGTGTGTCGTGCACTGACAGCGTGAAGATAAACCAGCGTCCAAAACTTGTTTTTTGCAAACAATTCAGTTTCTGAAATCTGCAGAGCTCAGTTTGTGATCCTTATTTTTTAATATGTTTCCACCTGCGAGGCTCGCTGTATTATAAATAAAAGCTATTGTGTGTTTTTTTCAAACAAAGTGAAAAATGGATTTAACTGTAGATACGTGTTAGTGCTGCAGGACTGTTTAAATGAACAACTCCTTGTTGTGTTTTCATTCATGTTTTGAGGCCATAACAAACTGTTATTACTGTCGGTCACCTGCAGTACCTTCTCGGCCCATCAGGGGTCCCCGGCCTACACTTTGGGATTAGTCCTTGACGTGGGTAGAACAATAAACCAGCTAAGTTTAAGAGTTTGCTGAAGTTTGCTTGCTAACAAACATGTTGGCAGGTTTTAAATCCCAGTCAGCATCCACAGCTGAGCCCAGACTGAACCTGCTGAACAAAGACAACAGTTTCATTCATTTTGGTGATGATGATGCATGCTGCAAATTTCCAGAAGTTTCTCAGCACCAATGACGTCAGCTACCCCGATGAAATATAATGAAGGTGTGAAGCCGACAGGCCCCGCCCTCCTGCAGAGAGCCGAGCTGCGGCGTCTGCACAGAAACTAAATTACAGCCCTGAGGGAGCGGAAAAATCCGGAGAGGAGCAGCTCTGACTCCTGCCAGTGATTAACAGCTGAAACATGTGGCAGCTGATCGCTCTGCAGCTTCAGCGCCGCCGGCTCGTGTGTGTGTGCGCGTGTGTGTTTGGGCTGGCGTGGAGATAATGCTTAAATGCACTCCGCCCCTAATAAAAACAGTCTGCTGTTCCTGCACACAGACACACATTAATGGTATGCCACACCCATCACACACACACACACACACACACACACACACACACACGTAAGACTGCATGCAAATCCAGAGGCCGGGAAGCTGCAGGGACACAAACCTGCGACCTGCTGCTGCATGAAGTCTTGCAGCAGCAGGTCGCAGGTTTGTGTATCTGGTTGCAGAAGTTCATAAAACCACAGCGACAAGAGTTCAGTACACATAACTCAAATGTGTCAACACACACACACACACGAGTGCATGTGAGTAATTCCCACAGACACAGACATGTGACCACAGGGTGTAGCCTCACTGGTTCCTGCATCTTAATTAAGTTTAGGAGACTCTCGTTTCAACTGGAAAGGAATGCAGAGCAAACACGGAGTCAGCACTCAGAGCTCAGGAACGTCACGGTTTTAAATGCTGCAAACACAGACAGCAGCTGCTGTTGCAGAGCTCAAATAATCAAACAAATCATTTATATAGATGAAAAAGTTTAAAAGTGGCTGAACTCTGCTGCAGGCTCTGGATCAGCTGAGCGTGGGACGAGAGGCAGCAGGCAGGCGAACCACGGATCACATGGTTACAAATGACTGAACTTTCAAAATAAAGGTCAGGGTGACTGTGTACTACTAGACAAGAAAATAAAACGTAAATAAAACATCATCACAAATGTGTTGATCAAATTAAAGAAGCAGCAGCAGCTAAATTACTCTTTAAAATGCATGAAAACTTCTGATTTTATAACTTTGTTCTTTGGAAGGAGACGATTCTCTTCACTCTGTCAGGACCCACACACCTGTGTTCCTGAGCCCACACAGCCTCCATCACATGCTGGTGTTGGTCAGACCTCCGAACACTCCTGATCCACCAGTTTATAAGTATCACTGACTCTACATTAGTGTGCATTATAATCACTCTCAAATATCCTTATAGCTCTGAGCTGTTAGATTTGCCCTCTTGGCCTTCAATGGCACTTTTTACTGGGATACATAAAGACGCATCAAAGTCACTTTGCACACTGTCACAAGGAAATGACTTGATCTCCTTCGCGAGACACGTTGCACAGATTACAGACCGACGAGTCATTTACAGCCAGTTACTCTGGCGTCGGAGCGAAGCCTCCCTCTCACGTTGCGCTGATGCTAAAACCAGAACCGTCCCTCCGAGCTCGCCCTCAACTCGACTGAGCATCACGAGCTTTTCTGGAGGCCTGAAATCAAACAGCTGATGTGCTTATGGAGGAGCGAGGTAGGTAAGGCGAGACCGCCGAAGAGCTTGTGACTTCAGCGGCCAGCTGCTGGATCATCTGCACGGCCCGAAGGCTCGCCGCGCTTTAGGCCGCGCGGCCACGTGCTTCCCTCACAGTAACAACATTATTCAGCATCAAGTCTCACCTCTAAACTGAGAACATGTTTGCTGTCACTGATGTGAAGAAAGAGATGCTGCAGAAAGCTGACTCACAGCTTCCCATCAAACACTCACAGCTGGTAAAGAACGATGAACTCGGGCACAGCTGGACGTCACCGTCACTGTGGCCAGAGAGCAAAGCGCCTCAGTGAGGCACCATCGTGTATCCGTTCACTTCACCTGTATAGTACTGCATTTATGAGACACTCTTATTTTATCCACAGAATAAAGGTTTATGAATAATTCAGGTAGAAGACTCTGTGCACAGCGCCGCTGTGAGGCAGACTTTCCAACGCTCTCATCATCATCAATGTAAATATAATACTAAATCCACTTTTTCCAGCAGCAGGTTCGCTTTACTGCTTCTGCTTTGAGGATGAATTTCTGTGGGGGAAGTTTAAGTGTGTCATGGTCACGAGTGATGGAAAGGTGGCACATGAGGTCGCCTGGTGGATCAGTGTGGTGTCCACCCACCAGGAGCTCCTCTAAGGGTGCCCTCGCTGCTGTTTGCTGGTTGAGTGCTGCGCTAACGTTAGCATGGGGGTGTAAACAATGGTAACCATGGCTTCCGTTAGCTTGCGAGGTAGTTGAGTTGTGCTCACAAAGGCAAAGCTTGGACTATTACTGTGGAGCTAAAAAAGGTAACCAGGGCAGCGCTGATGTTTTCATCATCTGATGGTAAATAAGTGTGAAAAGGTTAACGTCCAGATTAAGGTCACATGATTCATGTGCTGCTTCAGCTGCAGGCTGGTGAGATTAGGGATGAAGACCGATTAACTGTTCAGGTGGGAGTTTTTCTACACTTGTGTCACATTGACTGACACGTAGCCACGTCCTCAAAAACTCCAGTCATGATGATGTCACAAAGCCTGCAGCAGTACTGTCCTCCTGTGTGCGTGTGTACGTTTGTATTACCAATGTTGTGGGGACATAAAACTGTCGGTCACTTTGTGGGGACTCGACTTCTCTTTGGTGGACAAGTTTGCAGATGATACCACTGTGGTGGGGCTCATCTCAGGGGGAGATGAGACTGCATACAGAGCTGAAGTTCAGAGGCTGTCAGATTGGTGTGCAGACAACAACCTGGACCTCAATACCACCAAAACAAAAGAACTGGTAGTTGACTTCAGAAGGAGGAAGTCCGAGCTGCAGCCTGTCAGCATCAACGGGGAGTGCGTGGAAAGGGTCTCCAGTTTCAAGTTTCTGGGTGTGCACATAGACACAGACCTCCAATGGAGCTCTAACACCTCTGCGGTCTTAAAGAAGGCCCAACAGCGTCTCCACTTTCAGAGAATCCTCAGAAAAATGGACCTGAAGAAGGAGCTGCTGACCGTCTTCTACCGCTGCTCCATTGAAAGTGTGCTGACATATTGCATCGGTGTGTGGTTCTCCAGCTGCACCACAGCACACTGAAAGGCACTCCAGAGGGTCATCAACATGGCCCAAAAAATCATTGGACATCCTCTTCCCTCACTGAAGGACCTGTACAGCACTCGCTGT